CGCAGAGGTCGCGCGAGCGCCGGCGTCGAATAGCGCGGTCACAATCTCAGGGCGTGCCTCCTCCGTCGCGAGTTTGAGTCCCTCGTCGAGATCCTCAACAGTCAGTCGCCCGCTGGAGATGGCTTCTTGGGTGTTTGACAGATCACCGGCGGCGCATGCGTCGAGAAACTCCTCAACAAACGCCTCCTCAGCTTCTGTGATACAGAGGCTCAAGATCAAAGAGGTGGTTGTGAAATGAGATGTGGTAGATTGGTTGAGTGTACAATTACACAAAGTCCACAAGAGACCTCTATTTATGCTTAGGCGGCGATTGCAGAAGCAGAGTGGGACCGGCTGATCGGGTATTCTTTGGACAAGATGCCTATCTTGGTTGCCAACGTCGTCAATGGTCCGGACTCTACCAAGAACACGAACTGGATTGACGTTATCGATCGAGCCTCAGCTTCTGGTAAAACGGTCCTCGGCTATGTGTGAACCGGATATCTTGGTGTGAGCGATCAGAAATTCCTAACGCGTCTTGGCTCAGGTGACTTGGCCGATTGGACCGCTCAAATTGAGGAAGATATCGATATGTGGTACACACTTTATGGCAACAGCACATTTTCTCTTGCTTTGGTATTGGTGGTGGGACTCAACTGAGGGCACCTTGATGGCGAAACCGCCGTTTACCGAAGAAGGCGAAAGGACGGTAGGTTGGGAGAGGTGTGCTTGGAGGAGTTATTGCTCAACCGACGACTCATTGGAGAGATAGGTCTAAAGCATGGCCAGGTAGAAAGTTTTACCTCAGTTGAGAAAGGTATATAGTGCAAACTTGCGGTCTAATTTGAACGGTGTGGAATTTAAACGCTTCTATGGAATTTATAGTCACTCTAGCGCCTTGAGAACTAGATATCCTTGATTTAGGTGTACTCGACGGAGACTATAATGCATGCAACGCGAAACGCTACTTTGTACAATTCCTTCCAAGGATGCACGTCTCTAAGACTGTATCTCACTCATGCCATCAAGGTGTTCCCATTTGCACTCCGTAGTATACCCGGATTTCCCGACTTTCGGGTGTCCCGGCATTTCTCGCCCCTAGGAGTGAGTTCGCGTCTTGGGATCTACATTCCCTTATACATAGCTTATATTATTATTCCCTTTTATGCGAGGGTGATGAATAACGTATGATTGGTTTACACTACATCTCAGATATTATGGAGGGAGACAATATGAAGGATGGGTAAAATGTAAGAATCATAGGTAACTATTGCGACATATTACCATTCACCCCTGGAAGCTTTAGGTGGATACAGTTATTCTCTTCGATATTAATTGCAAATGCCTTTTGTCTACTCCGTATCAAAGAACGGTTAACAGCGAACAATACAAAAGACGAGCCACTCTGAACTTGTTTATAAAAAAAACGCTTATAAAAATACTCCGTAATCATTCCATGACTGCAAGCAAGGCTGAAAAACAACAAGTGAAGGAATCGTCTTTGTCGCCTGCATCTGTACACATCCCATCCAGGTCTTCGGTTTTAATTTGCCCTTCGTTTAGATCCTCACAGGGGTTGGGGTTTGCGTAGATCGAGCTGTTGCAGTACTCGTTGGTGTTCCTTTTTCAAGGCTTTGAACTCGTCGTCTAACTGATTGTGCCATGGGTATAAAACGAAGACTTGGAATGCCAATGCTGAAGAGGCAACTCCGAAATTGACGAGCGAGATTCCACGCGTGATCCACATGGCGGAGCAGACTGAAGACTGATTTGATCAGTGACTGGGCTCGAAATGAGTGGGCAGAAGACTCACGGTGAACTGCGGAAAGAGAATGTTGTTGTTAGAGGGTATGAAGCACCTAGGATGAGCTGTAAGATGTAAACCAGAGACGGGGGCCTTGAAGGAAATATAAGTAAAAGGGGGCGAAATGGAAATTTCGTCCAAATTGACCAGCACCTTCCGCTATAAACACATTTCGATTTCGGCAGGAACTCCGATCAGTGCACATGTGGACCTCCTGGGCTACGAATTAATGCCGAAAATGGCTTAAGTGGAGCCAAAATGGAGTGAAGTGGAGAAGGATCGTTGCGGCAGAAAGTTTCACCGATCGAAATTCTTATCTTTCGGAGATTGATCGTATCAGTCGGATCCGAAGAGATAAGAAACAATATTCTTGACTTATGTTGTACTCACTTTCAAATGTTGTTTCTGAACCTTGGATCCTCATAACCAAAAAGAAAAGAAATTGGCAAGGAGTGAGTGCTTATTATACCCGAATTATCAATAGAGAACACTACTAACTACTCCGTACTGCCTTCATAGATCACCCTTCTCCGAGCCTCCCCCAAAGTTGCAGACCCAAATACATCAAAACAATGGAATCCAGCTACCAACAGAGTACATCGCAGCAGCTGCTCAGTTGGGTAAGGGAGCAAAAATACAAGCTTGCTGGCGCTACTTTCGTTGCCAGCATGGTCGGTTCCTTTATTATGGTCGGGCGCAACCCGTACCTGACCGGCAAACAAAAGATTGTGCAGGCCCGTGTGTATGCACAGGGTCTGACGCTGGCTGTCATTGTTTCATTGGCTGCGCTTGACATGTCTGACCGACGAAAGCCATATATCGCTCAGCGGAAGAAAGCGGTCAAGCAGTCTGATTCAGAGAACTAAGGCCAGGAATTTCCAGGATGGCCATTGTTCGATCCGGATGGGAAAATATAGAGATTTTGTGGATTGTATATTACAGCTTATTATATCATAGACCAGTGGGGATATTTATAAATTCTTGTTACCGATCAAAAAGTTGAATACTACTTGGAGACTCCTGACGTGACAGTAAATTGGGAAACGCGTCTAAAGTAGCCATTTTTAGGCAGCCGATTTACTATCGATTAGCTGTAATAACCCACCTGAGAGTAAACCAGTCACAATTGACTTTTCGAAAGTGATGTGTAATTGTTCTCGATACGCAATCATGCTTCAAATTAATTGAAAAATATCTTGCCTCCCGCTTTTTGTGTGCGTTGCTTGATCTCATCTGAGATGAAGGAATTTGCTTAGTGAAACCTTTGTTACAATATTTCCTCGGACCGAGGTCCCCAGAAGGCCCAAATATCAGCTTCGGCCGGGCTTGTTCATACAAGGACGTGGGAATCTCATGATCGCGCGAATTGTATTCACAGGTATGACTGAGGCTCCATTCCTGAGAAAGCAGCTGAAGATGCCTTGAAAAAGATCTGTTTTCCAAAATCCACGAAGAGCGCAAAGAAATATATGAGCATTCAACTCCCACTCAAAGATTTGCACGTGTCAAGGATGAGAAGAGTTTGCGATTATCCGGCCTATATAGGTAATCTACCAAAAGAACAATTCAATATCTCTGAGATATCTATCGGTCCCCTCTCCTTCATGGCTACTCGCTTACCAGGACGGTTTCCCTTTTCAGAGGATTCAATCCGCTTCTTCTCTCTTTATAGATAACGTTATTATTGAACGAAATCTACCCGAGGCGGCATTCGACGCGTATAGCTTCCTATGGATGGCTAGCGTAACTAAATTATTTGTTTTGGCATAGTAGTTAGGTCTACAGTATTGTAGTATATGGTTGCAATCGCCAATATCACACGCTGGCGGAAGCCACCGCTATTAAGAATATGTAAGTAGCCTCCTAGTGGCTGTTTAGAACAATCTAGCATTAAGGCAGTAGTTAGGATTAGCCTTTGAAATTGTAAGGATAAAAAGTGGCCAGTATTTTCCAAATATGCATTGTCTGTTTGTTGCTTTATAGACGGTTAGGTTTGAACAAACAAACCCAAATTTGCTGAGGGATCCAGCGACTAACCAGTAAATCACTTGTATTTAGTTCCACTGTCCAGCTTATCGCAAGAAACATATAGTTCGATTTGCCTCTGGCAGCGGACAAATAGGAGTGACGTACAGATTTGCTGGGACTGGGAGCCTTATTCCTAGAATTCTATGATGATCAAAATGTAGAAAGAGCTCTGAATTCAATAGACGAGGACTGACACGCTTCCAGCCGCATATTAAGCCCCCTGCACTGCTTCTTGAAACGCAGTGATAGAAGTATTCTAGTTTCGAGGGCTTTGACTCACAGTTGCACCCTACATCGCTGGCAGTATCAGCAGGGTAGGATTCTGATAAAAAATATATCTTTTGTGAGTTCCTATATGTAATTCTGTCCAAAAGCTGATTAGCCAATATTCAAGGAAAATTAGAGGAGAGTGAATCCATAGGCTAAAGTGAGGAAGACAGAGCGTTCCAAAATTGGTCTTCAACTGGAATAGGTCGCGTATGCACGCAAGACTCCATACCTCATACTAAACTTAGGCGCTCAAGCTCCTAGACGGTGGAGACATATGTAAAGCCCTTTCCAGGCCGGCGCATAATGACAAGACCTCATAGGCCAAACCCCTCTTAAAAGGGGACTGAGATAAACTAGCGTGTTTATTTTAGTTCATCACAAATCCGCAAAAGTTTATCAGCAGATGTAATCTAAAACAAAAATAGGCCAGTGGTTACCACCTATTTATTCAGTCCGTCTCATCTCCTCTCAAATAAGTGCATCCCTTCCATGTCAAGGATACATGACAATACCAAGAAGTATCATTGACCTCAAATCTTACCGAGAATTCCAAGGTACGTATAACTAGCTAGTCAATACTAAACTCTGACTGAAGTGTGCAGCATCCTGGGCAAACCCTCGGCGTTCGAGCAACATAGGAGTAAGAGCAACCCAGCAATTAGGACCTAAGGGCATTAGTAAATAAATTAGATGTGTGAAAATGTACGGGGGATATTTGGAAGGTGTGGTGACGAGGCAACTGTTTATGTCGCGAGATGTGGGCCTGCCATTCAAAATGAAGTAACTTGTCCTCCTCATCAGCGTGAAGACATCCACGACTGGCAAGAGGATAAGGACGACGAATATTGCCCTGCGTGTAAAGGAGAAACGCCACCAGAAACATCTTAAAGAAAAAGAACGAGGCCTCATACTTTGTTATTTATTCCGCCTTGTTATTGATCACTTTCTGCATGTTTTTAACAATCTTTTGCTCCTGTTTACCCCCCCAAGTATACGAAGCAGCCCTGTCCTTTGCCTTTTCAGCCCATCGATCGCGAGGGATGAAGGATCTGTGTAATTAGAAAGGGTAATTATCACCAAAGACTTTGACTAGGCCTCTCACAGTTTGCCACTTTGTTGACTTGCAAGGTATACCTGATGGGGAAGTTGCAAAAAATCCTCCTGGTTCAGTGGCTCAGTAACATCCAAATCAAGAATAAACCATCTTTTAAGAGGCTTGGGTGAGTCGAAGTCAGCCGGAATATGAATGTGGTCGTAACCCGCTGGGTGAAGTGTAGGATTGAATGCACGATTTAACATAATGTCACAAAAGTCTTCCCCAATTTTGACATGGCGCCGTTGGGGAAAACCATCTATATCGGTAACGCAAGCATAAATGACTATTCTGGTGGGATGAGACTCCATATTGACAGTGCATAATACCAAGGTGAGTGAATGTTGCGCTTTAAATCCATGGATTAGCCACGAGATTGAGCGGTAAAGGGCCTCGGTTGTGGATTAATAGAAGAGCCGAACCCTGTGATGGCAAAACCTTTCTTATATTGTGATCCCTCATACTCCGTACTTGGTGTACCAGTCTTGGGGTAGTCCCTTTCCTCGGAGGTTCTGTAACAACCCTCGGGATATTAGGACCCTCCAACCCTTCAAGATCAGATGTGCCGTACGAGATGCCTACGTATGTACATATGCAACTTTGGAGATATATACTTCTGTCTGGATTCCCGCCAGTTCGTCTGGTTTTCATTTAGTAAAGTTCAAAAAAAGAAAAAAAGAAAAAGAAACTGCCATTTTCCCATCACACCCCGTCTCTTGGACTTCACTGTGATAACTGGAGAATATTCTCTTTGATGTCCATTCCGAGGAACAGAATGCTATCGATTATTGATCTCTCTACAGAGCTTCCCGGCTTGATTCCTAATTCCCATGAAGCTATATTAGGAGTATGTTTAGCAATCTATCAACTCTTCTTTTTACTTCCTCTCTACATGCCGTTAGCATTGCATCAGTTTGTCTCAAAATTATTGAGAATATTCCCAATGAATTACAGGGAACAGCTTGAAAGTTGAGATTGTTGACGCCAATTCGATCTTGAGGGATCTGGAATTGCCAACATTTTCCAGATAAATTAAGGAGTTCCTTGCCGTATGTGGCCAGAAAAGACCACAACGTAGGAATAAAGACCAACCCGTGGACAAGCTTTTAAATTGGACTAGTAAGGGCAAAACAAAGCTTTAACAGATGGACAAAGAGCATAGCTACATGCAGGTAGCCCTGGAGGTGTATGGGTCGATGTAACCGTGAATAAGCGACGCCGATGATTGGATTTATGTCATCGGCGCCGATGTCGGACTTGGTGGGGTTGAGTGTCAAATTCACCCGCCTTTATATTCTGAAGCTTCCAACCTGAATAATTGAGCAAATCATTTTTCTTCATACATAATGTCTTCCTTCAATATCGTCGTCTTTGGTGGTGACCACTGTGGTCCCGAGGTATGTCATTCAGAGCTTTTGTGGGGGAATTGAGTACAGGACTGACATTTAGCGAATAGGTGACCGCTGAGGCTGTCAAGGTAACATTGCAAGCTGGAATTGCGCGGAATAAAAGTACTGATTGAATCGCAGATCCTCCGTGTCATTGAGAAATCCCGCGGTATTACTTTCAACCTTCAGGATCACCTGCTCGGTGGTGTGAGTATACTCCACACACGCGACAAAACCCCAATGACTAACAATTGCAGGCCTCCATCGACGCTACCGGTTCGCCCTTGACCGACGAGGCCTTGAACGCCGCCAAGAACGCCGATGCCGTTCTGCTCGGTGCTATTGGAGGTCCCGTACGTCTATATCTCCAACCCCTCCATTCCCTCCCTCCCCGCACAAACACCAAAAACAAGCTTACTCACACATTGCGTCCAACAGAAATGGGGCACTGGCGCCGTGCGCCCAGAACAGGGTATCCTCAAGCTCCGTAAGGAGATGGGCACATTTGGAAACCTGCGGCCCTGCAACTTCGCCGCGCCCTCGCTGGTCGAGAGCTCGCCTCTTAAGGCCGAGATTTGCCGCGGAGTCGACTTCAACATTATCCGTGAGCTGACGGGCGGTATCTACTTCGGTGAGCGCACGGAGGACGATGGTTCTGGATACGCCATGGACACCGAGCCCTACTCTCGTCACGAGATCGAGCGCATCATCCGTCTCGCCGCCAACCTCGCTCTGCAGCACAACCCTCCCCTGCCCGTCTGGAGTTTGGACAAGGCCAATGTCCTCGCTACCAGTCGTCTGTGGCGTAAGGTCGTCACTGAGATTATGGAGAAGGAGTACCCCCAGGTCTCCATTGGTCACCACCTCATTGACTCGGCTGCTATGCTGATGATCAAGGACCCCCGTAAGCTGAACGGTATTGTTGTTACTAGCAACTTGTTCGGTGATATCATTAGCGATGAGGCTAGTGTTATCCCCGGTTCTCTGGGTCTGCTTCCCAGTGCCAGTTTGAGCGGTATTCCTGATGGCAAGAGCCGTGTCAACGGTATCTACGAGCCTATCCACGGTATGTGTTTTGGTCTCTTTGTTGCTTTTTGTCAGTCATGGTTTTGGTCATCGCTAATTGATATTCCTAGGCTCCGCCCCCGATATTGCCGGCAAGGGTATCGTTAACCCCGTCGCCACTATCCTCTCTATTGCCATGATGATGCAGTACTCCTTCAACATGATTGACGTGGCTCGCCTGATTGAGCAGGCTGTGAGCAACGTCATCGAGGCTGGTGTACGCACCGGCGACATTGGTGGTACAGCCAAGACTACCGAGGTCGGCGATGCCGTCGCCGCCGAGCTGGAGAAGCTGCTTAAGTAGATACAAAGCAGGCTCCTCAATGTTTCTATATGATATATGACTAGCATAGAAAACTAAAAGTTTGAATACCCGTTTTAAGATGCAACATGGATTTCAATTTCATTGGCGCAAAAATGCCTAATGATGTTCATTCGCCGACCAAACCCATGCAAAAATAATGGAACTGGGTATCATGAAGACATTGAAACTCCGATAATAAAACCTCTATTGGCATTTTGCAAGCCAAACAACGCCGGTATTTTTGTTGTTCCTTGTAACAAGCCCCTGCTTATCGAATCACTGGCTCGCCCATCCAATCCGGCTCGTCTAGACCGGTAGTAGTAAATCCAGTATCAGCATCTTCACTTGCGGTACGTCCACGAAGATCATGAGCCCCACGTAGGGACGGACGACGGCGCCGAGCATCAGCAGAAGCCGACGGAGCAGCGGCCATCCGACGACGACTATCATCACAAGCAAATACTTGGAATCCACGAACATGGGTATCCTTGCCATTCTGATGGTTCTCCATAATGCGCATCTGGATGACCATAGCCTTGAGCACATTCCCTGAATAGTGATCATCCTCATCATCCTGGCTATCAGGCTCATCAATCTCATAAAACGGATCACACTCATCATCATGTTCATGGTCAGGGTCATCACAGTTTCGGTACACAATTGTTCGTCGACGCATACTCGTAGAGCGGCGTTTCGATTTCCCAGGGTCATTGCGCACCCATCCGCCGTTTCTACCGCCGACGCCCTCTAGTGGCACATCGACCCAGCCGCATGGACCGTCTCCTTCCCAAGTTGCGAACTCGACGAGGTCGTTGCCGCCCATCCCGGCTGCGAAAATCATTTTCGTGGGCGTGTAGCTTTCGTCAAGCTCAAAATCCAGATATACGCGGATGCGCACAACAGCTACCAATTTGAAGAAGTGAAGGGTTAAGGTGTGCGGTTGTGGTCCGTCGGATTGCCAGTATTGTGCCGGGGAAGGGTTGCGGAGGGCCGCGACGCCGCAGCCCGGCTTTGAGGTGGAGACGGTCCAGGAAGCGAGAGATGAGATCTCGCGCAAGTTGGGTGGTAAGGGGGAGGGTGATTTTTCTGTAGCTCAAAATATTAGACTGCAACTCTTGAAGCGTAGCCATAAGGAAAGAAAGGGAGCGCGGATCAGTACCTCGATCGTGCATCTCTTGGTCGGGGTCTTCTTCGTCGTCGAATTGGTCCTCGACTTCTTCCTCCAGCTCCTCGCCATCAATATCGGAGTCATCAAATTGTCCTTCGATCTCGTGACCACCATCGAAGGAATCATCGAAGTCGAGTGGCCCGTCGTTTCCGAGTTCTTGCATGCTGCGCCCGCGCGGGTCGAAATCATCGTCAAAGTCGTCGTCATCCATCATTTGTGGTGGTGGTTGTTCAACTCTTGGTCTTCCAAATATTGTAAAGGGATTTATTGGTGCCGCTGGATGTCCCGCCACGGCGACTGGGTCGGGCGTGAGAGCATTTGGACCGGTGGAGGGGGGTTGAGGTCGATGGGTTGGGTTGGTGGGAGTGTGACGCGTTGGCGGGGTCTGAAACTGTGCTCGGAGGTTTCCTGGGGCATTAGAGTCTTGATTGGGTATTATGTCGCGCGCATTGGGTTGTCGGCGCAAGTGAGGCATGGTTGTTCCATGCCTAGGGTTGCAGGAGTTGATGTCTACGCGCAGATCGAGGGGAGCTCCATTTCTTTTTACGGTTAGCGCCGTTTGGAAGCTACGAGGGCGTTGTTTTGGCAACCAAGAGCCTATTCAAGTCATCTAAACGTTTAAATATTCCCAAGAAGAATACATTTATAGTATGACAAAGCGCGTTATATCCTGGAATCATTGTGATTATAAAATTTGTTGCGTCCATTATGTCCTTATTTGCAGTGCTATTAGTATCCATGAATTTGCACAATATGTATGCATAGTAGTATACAACCTAGGTAATCTATGAGTGTATGTAGCATATCAATTAATTAAGAAGTCACTGTATGGAATATTTATCAATACATCTCCCCTCTCATTACGCCTTTCAAATCGGAAGAAGCGCCCATAAAATTCTCACCTATCAGCGGACATGAACAAAGTAATTCGGGGATTATCTACACATGTAGACAATCTAGATAACACCCGTCTCCCTCGCAGATAATCTAGATACGTTTTCCTTAGCTGACAAGCTCTGATGGCTACCTAGGTAATGTCTATGGCCACTTCTAGGAGTTTTCTGGCCCGTTCCCAATTGAGGATGATAGCAACTCAATTCCAACGGGAAAAAATACAAGAAATGAACTGCCCTGGTTCTTTCAATGTGATATGTCTCTTAAATTTTAGACTTGTCTTGATTTGTTTTGTTATTATTACTCTTCGAGCTAAGAGATAAAAACAAATATAGAAAAAAAGATGTTTCGAGAATGCACCTACTTTCTCTCCGATTCTTACTTCCATTTATGTAATGCAACTCTAACCTAACGAACTGACATGAATATTCCTTTCAGGTAATAAGGCTCCAACATACCCACGACCTGCCCTAACCAGTACCTGATACTGGTGCGCGTGATTCACTTAAGAGCGAGATAGGGATCGTGGTAGAATACGGATTATAAAATGAAGATATATCCAATGGTAGTATAATATTGCGACAAAGTGGTATCCATTATGGCTCGCGTTATTCACAAGTGCCAAGTCCCATTCCAACGCCGTTCATTCATCGGGTTGTATCATTTCGTAGTAAAGCGGCATATCTAGCAGCAGCACTCGCAGCACTCGAAGCAAGCGATACCAGCGCAGCTGTTGTAAAAGTGTTAGCTAATCTTTCAAATTCTGCGTGGCTAAGTAAGGCACCAAAGTAGCCTTGGAAGATTCAGGACTCACACTCCACAGCAGATATCACCACCCTCACCGCCACCGCGGAGTTCCATCTTCATCGACTCTGAGCTCTGAGGGATCAATTAGTTGTGATATCAGCGAATAGCAACCGAATAACATACAGGCTGCTGGGAGACGACGTTGTTGGAAGACATGGCCTCAGCGTTGGTGGGCTGTTCCATAGCCATGGTGGCCGCATTCCAGGTAGGCTCCTGGGTGGGCTTCGATTCGTTGGAAGACTTGAACCAGCCGAACATTTTGACGGATAATTTGTATTTGAAAAGAAAAAAAAAGAAGGCGACAGGCAAAGCAAATATTTAGGAAGAGGTGGGAAAGTGAAAAATAAAGGGGAAAGTAAATAAGCCTGGGTCAGCCGTTTCTATTATTTATGAAACGGAGTAGTACTATTAGTAAGTACCCAACGACCTAAATTAGAGTAGTATTCAAACCTTGGAACTCTTTTTCCAGCATAGCCCAGACCGTATCATGTACTGCGCAGCTAAGCCATCACAGGCAGCCATATTATGGACCTGTGGGGCTGAGGTAAGAGAGAGATACCGGCTTATTTGTTGGCATCCTTTGAGATGATTAGCAGACTTGAAATAAAATGCCTCGCAGGGATTTCCTCATTGAGCTTTGTTCTCTTAATTTCCTCATTTCTTAATTTAGAAAAGGCATAAACAGAAAATCCTGGGAAATGTCTTTGGAAATCCACGTGAAAGTCAACCTCGGAATGGCCCTGGAGGCACCAAGCTTTTCCAAGGCTGGTCAAGCTTTGCGAAATCTTGGCATATTTCCCCCTTTCAGCCCTATTCTTGTATGACGTCTTCGTCTTCATATGGAATATCTTTGATGTGCTGATTCTAAAAAAAAGTTCATGCCTTTATTCTTTATCTAAACGCGATCTAGCAAATTCAAAAACACACTGAAGCACAACCCGAAATACCCGAAATACCCGAAAACCTCTCACTCACCCTCACTTCCTGCCTTGAATAGAATCAACAGTCCCCTGCAAACTGTCAGGTGCGTCATATTTGTCCATATACAACTCAACAATACGCAACGGGGGTGGGTTATTCTCATCATAATGATCGGCTGGGCCAAACGATGGGTCGTCAAGCAGACTATTCAATTCAGCCCTAGTCCGGACTGCATAAGTGCGAGCAGTATTCGGAGCGGCCTGGAACACGGCCGGCAAAAGCTTAAAGTCCCATGGCTGGATATCGTTATACTCTGCATCCACGCCATGAATCACGCGCTCTATCGTGTACCCTTCATTGCAGACAATGAACACGATAACGCCCAGTCTGCGGCGGACCATGGTACTCACTTCTTGTGCGGTCAATTGAAAGCTACCATCTCCCGTTAAGCAGATGGTTCGTCGGCGGCGAGTGCCTTGGGATTGTTCCTCGTCTTCCCGCGCAGCGAGGGCCGCTCCCACTGCTGCCCCGACGGCATATCCAATCGAAGACCAAAGGAACTGTACTAGTGAAACTGCTCCGCGCGGGTATCGAGACCATGTTATGCCAAATGCAGCAGTTCCGATATCTACAGATATGATGTCGTCTTCTTCGAGCCAGGCAGACATTCGCGGCCAGATCCACTCTTGGGTTAACGGTTGAGACTTGTCAACAACGTTACCCTCGAAGTCCATAACCTCATCCTCGTTCACACTTCCTCCCTGTGAGTTGGAGGAGGGTGAGATGGTTCCAGATATATCGGGTGTGCCACCAAGCTTGTGGGGAGGCGTGGAGGCCGTAGAAGCCGTGGAGACAGATTCTGACCGTTCTGCATCAAGGATATTGCTGAGCCTTTCAAGCACACCATTCACATTGACCCCAAGAGTTCCTTGATATTGCATTTGGATGCTGTGTCGTTCGAATTTGATGGTCTCGATGTGGGGCAAATCAGTCTTGAACCCGCCCGTGTTGAAATCCACTGGACGCGGCCCAATAATCAGGATTAAATCGGAGGCTTGAACTTGTTCATAAACGGTAAGCTCTGAGACCTTTCCTACGTACACGCCGTGGAAATTTATCAAGCCTTCATCGATGATACCTTTGGACATCGGCGTAGCAAAGCAAGGAAACCCCGAGCTTTCCACGAATAGCCTCGTTGTATTCAAGCTGTGCGGCTTTCCAGCCAGAATCTCAACAATGATGACCGGATTCTGAGCCGCCCGAATACGGCCAAGAATCAAATCCACGGCATAATCCTCATCCGCCACCGAATTGGGACTGGGCTCTTCGAACACCAGGGGGTGTTCAAGCGGAGATGGATCTACCTCTACCTGGACAAGATCCGATGGGAAGCCAATGTAAACAGGCTTGCTGGAACGGCAGCATTCAATAATCGTTTCGTCAATGAGCCTGGTCGCATCTGATTTGTCTTCCAGAACGACCACGGCGCTTGAGATTTCGGCACTCATTCTGGCAAATCGCCTAAAGTCACCATCTCCCAGAGTATGGTGCATTGGGAGCCGCTTTTTTTGTATAGCTGTTGATGGATATCCGACAATGTGGATTACTGGTACGAGCTCGGCGCATGAGCCTGCTAGGGCATTGATGGCTGAAAGCTCCCCGACACCTAATGTAGTCATGATTGCGCCTACTCCTTTGATGCGGGCATAACCATCGGCGGCGTAGCCTATGTGTGTGAAATGATCAGACTCATATGTTTCGGTCGAGTGGAAAGTGTGTCTATCTACTTACCGCCGTTGAGCTCGTTCACATTACCGACCCAATTGAGACCACATGGTGCGAGGTAGTCAAGGGAGTTTAGATTGTAATCACCGGGTACACCAAAGATGGAGCGGATTCCAATCTCGTGAATTCGACGGAAAAGATACTATAATAGAAGTAAATGTGTTAGCCATGTACGAACGAATAGCATTTGCATATCATTTTCATACTTCGGCGAGATGCATAGTGGCGTCAAAAATTTCCGAAAACTTCGAATATAATTCAACGTTTTATGCTTGCTTGGAATTGAATTTCAAACTCTTTTAGACTGTAGAATATTTTCTAGCGATGTTCTGTCTCGGGCTTTTATCATGTTCCCGTCAACCACACCTAGGACACATTGCGCCATCATGATACCGCTTCAAATCCACCTCCTAGAACTGAGTGTATCTCCTTTGCCTCAAAGCCAGTAGAATTCCCATTTGCAATATCTACTATGCTCTATAGGGGTGCACAGCACACCCAAGAGATGCCTCGAAAGGGAGTCACACATAAGATCGGCAGAGCTGTGCTACCACATCGAGCCACCATCAATACCAAGATATTCCATCGATATCATAGATTTTTATGTAGATAAGGGTTTCAGAACTTATGGTTCGCCATTCTTACTATCTTTCTCATTGGGATTCGTGCTCTGTTCAGGTAGCATGGTGTGACCACGAGTGAGCACCAATAGACCATATTTAGCATGTTGCACAATCTCCTGAGTATCTCATGCATGAAAAATGCTGTGTAGCGCTTGGTACGATTGAAGATACGCCTGAGTATACGTGTCCGAATATTCTAGGTCGCCACCTTAAGTCCTCCGGCCATGAGTAACCTTTGTAGCCGGGTTTATGTGTCGCTGTGTCACTGTGTCGCTGTGTACGAATCTTCGATCGATCGATCGAAGATTACATATGGGAAGAACTTAAAATCTTAGTATGTTGTTAACTATTATACTTTGATCGCTTGATTTATACTAACTTCTTCTTCTTTACTACTTCTAACGATGTAATGGCTAGTAGGCAGTTGAAAGAGGCAGCTCTCGCAGTCGCTTTATGAGTTGTGTTTTTACTAGCTGAGAAATTTACAAGGTTCTGGCATTGGAGTTATGTAAGATGATCAGGCTATGGCGGTCTTGCTTGGATACTAGCGGGTGTCGACTCCAGGCGCACCAGATGTTCTGCAATCGATGGAATTGGCTTAGAGATACGAATGTAGGTAAGATATTACCATGTGGACATGAATTATCTTCGGCCGGGCCAAACTCCTGCAACCCACGTCTCTTGATGACTAGAACACAAAATTTGCTATTCTTCACTTTGTCCCAAATGAGCTCCCCACGCACATCAACAGGGAAGTATTCCGGATCTTCCCGATACCTAAGCATTTGCCGTAACATCTTAATGTTTTTCATCTTGTGTTTTGCCTTTCAAATCTCGATTTCCGCAGGCGTGGGCGGAGGCGGTAGAAATGGAACCAGGTTAACCCCATATCTAGTGCCATGACTAGTACTAGTGAACAGTCAATCTATCCAAGGAACTTTATTGCTCCGCTTCCAGTTGGCGTTCAATATCCTCCATTAAACTTACTCCCTCGATCTGTGCCGCGGCCCAACAATAGTCAAATAATCACCCCATTGGCCATGCCGTAGCCATCTCGAGAAAAAAGCCTCTGCGTTTTCGGACGCTCGATATTCTTCAACTTATTGTATGAGGCACTTAACTTGACTACTCTATCTACATTTGGGGATACATCAAAGTCGCGAGGGCCCATCGAGTAGACCTTGAAACAGCCGGGTGCCCTCATCTTTGTACTTATGTTGTGCGGTCAGTGCACCTTGTAGATAAGTTTTGGGGAGAGATCAAAATGCTTTGAGCTTCTAGGCTCTTTGCGGGTTGTAGAATACCATGCTCGGGGCCTTTTCAGTCGCGCATCCGAGACGCTATTGATGCTCATCTTAGAGACTCGATGACGTAGGCACAACCGTAAGGAATACTAGCGCAAATATCACGCAAGACCAAGAGGAGGTCTTCATCCGTGAGAAGAGAGGGATTATCTATGGTTGGCCTTTCAGAAGGTTGAAGGGGCAGAGGTTTTTAAGGGGAGGAGAAGGAAGTAAAGAATAACTAACGCTTCTATTCGTGAATAAGTTATTAGGTTTATAAGATTCAAAAAAGGTCCGCTCCGGTCTCAGATACGAAGCGTAAGGCAAACAGGTATCTGATCAGAATTCATCGAATTTTCTGGAATGGCTGCCAAATGCTGACATAGGCCTCCGAGTATCCCGAGGTCCCGAGGTCAGACTGGTTTCAAGTACGAGCTGGCTTATGCACAGAGACTTCCTATTCAATATTGACAGGAGTGGTTTTGTTCCATCGAGAATAAAGATCATCCAGAAGTATCTTTTTTCTCTCGACCTTGTTAATCATCAGTTTATCTCTCAGACGATTGTAACGGATGATTAAGCTCCTACCCCATTTTTAGTCACTATCAGGATGCGATCAATGAGTATAACAAGCCTTTCGATATCATCTTGGTTGGCTTGTTCCCAGTCGTTCATTGCGGTAGTGATATCTTCCATTACTAGCTTCGGGAATTAACCACGTTCATGATAAGCACGGACGAGTTTGGGTGTCTGAGAAATCCAGAGTTAAGGCGCAACTTCTGATAGTCTTAGGTGGTTAGAGAAAACTCGAATTTTACTCTCTAGGGTCAATTCCCGTGATATTACGCGACAAGATCAGTTCATTTACGTCTGAGAAGAGGAGCATAACCATATGCCTACCGAGTCACCGATTTGTGAAGTAGAAATCAAGAGATGACGGACCTGGAAACGGAAGGATCTGGGGTCAAGCCACTACTACAAACAAGAATATATATATGTAAAGGACCAACGCAAATCAGGTGTCCATAGACAACTTGGAAGACTGAACTGCTCAGTGTTGGGTAACTTGAGATCTGCAGCTGATACCCCACTGACGCTAAAACATGGTAGTGTGGAAAGATCCAATGTTGTCACGTCCATTTTTGTGCGACAACTTAGGTATGTATAGTCGAGGAGTTATTAGATATAGTCACTGATAACTTCGAACAGCGCGATGATAAACCTTATGACACAGTGGAGTGAATCTGATATACGAAACTTTGAAAATCCCCACATCTCCCCACTTTCTCATTCCCTTATATAACTGTTCGATCAGGTCTCCAATTCTCTTTGATTTGATTTGGAGCGGGTTGTTAATGAAACTATTGAAGTCACATATGTACAACGAAATGCTTGGCCCTAGATCGTCTCGGCCAACACTGCACCGACAGTGGGTCAACGGGGACACCACATTGGATGCTTTATAAAGAGGGGTCGGTTCCATCATTCTTTCAAACCTCAACCATTGCACAAAATATACAAGATGTCTATGAGCATTGAAGACTCCGCTCAAACCCGGGACGGCTTCCCCCGTCCATTCCCGGATTCGCCTTCAAATGTTTTAGAGCAGTTTAAAATGAACGGAAAGGTGGTTGTTGTTACGGGTGCTGCCGATGGGCTTGGCCATGCCATAGCACAGTCTATGGCCGAAGCTGGCGCTAATGTTGCCCTGTGGTATAATTCGTAGGATTTTTTCTCATTCAAGGGCTGTCTTAAGTGTAATAGGTTAACCACATTCACAGAAATGACGTCGCCATTGAGAAAGCTCAGGTCCTGGCAAAGGAACATGGTATACAGGCTTCCGCTTACAAGGTCGATGGTAGGTGGATAGTTGGAGCTTCATCTCCCCAAAGAAGCTACCAAAATGCTAAGCTTTAATCTGCAGTTTCCGAGTCCATCCAAGTATCCGAGACGATCACAAAAGTCGTGACAGATTTCGGCAAGATTGATGTGTTCATTGCCAATGCAGGTTAGTTTCTGCCGGCGATGTTGATTTATGGCAGACATCTAATTCCGAGAAGGCATGGCGATCTCGAAGCCTATCTTGGAACAGACTCTGGAAGAGTACCGGAAGCAGATGTCCGTGAATGGTATGATATCCGTTCCTTCAACAAGATAATGGATCGTGGTGTTAACCGAGACTTAGTTGACGGCATTGTGTATTGTGCTAAATATGCTGGCGAGATATTCGCACGGCAAGGACATGGCAACCTCATCATTACCTCTAGTATGAGCGCACACATTGTCAACGTTCCTACTGATCAGCCTGTCTACAATGCGACCAAAGCGTACGTCACTCACTTTGGAAAATCACTTGCCCGTGAGTGGCGGGATTTTGCACGAGTCAACATCGTCTCGCCAGGTTTCTTCGATACAAAGATGGGGGCCGGCCCCTCGGCCCTCCAGGAGGCATATCGCATGTCGTCACTTGGAAGACAAGGGCATGTGAAGGAAATCAAGGGATTGTATCTGTACCTTGCCAGTGATGCATCTACCTTTATGACTGGAAGTGATGTACTCATCGACGGTGGATATGTCTTGCCATGAAGGTTGGGATATGTTGGATGACAAGGCTAAGATGCTCAGATTCAACAAAACATGCGATGAAAACACTGTTCCAACAATAGAATTGCCAATGGATATTTCAGTAAAAGACAATTTTAATGTCGGGTTAAGGCCTCAAATGAGACATTCTGTGCCCGAGGGCGTTTGGCCCCGCTATTTCAAGCCCTGGGGTCTATTTCCAGGTACGATTTCGACACCTTCATTTGTTTAACTGGCCGCTGTGTACTCCGTACTCTATGTATAGCAAAGTAGATTGACCAATCGAACCTTATCTCATCCCGGGTCGAAGGAACGTGCTCCAGGTCAAGCTGTTTCCCTAACTTGGAAACAAGGCTCCGAATTCTGTCGGCCTCGGGGAATGGGACCGCTTATCCGAGCCAACAACCGGCCATGCCCGGGAGAACAGTGGAGTAGGATGAGTCAACGACCTGCAAATGTACAGGGTCAGCACGGCCGAGAATACCGGGATTGGCACGGGGATCTCAAAAGGGTTTGGCTTCCAATGTCTCTTTCCACGACTGGGGTTGTCGGACCCGGGCAACGTCTTGGCGTAGTCATTCGAATGGGGCGTCAAAAGACATAGAAAAAACCGGGTAATCAAAGGTAGGGATTCAGGGTGTCGTCAGCTACACAGGAATATCATATCAAATGATAAAGCCACCTTTTTAATATAAACACGGCAGACGAAGGGGATAACACGGAGAAAACCTGCTTTTGTTTGACTAGCGTCATGTGATTGGCTGGTGTAGCGGCCCGGTTGGAGATTCAATCTCCTCAAAACACACAATAATATAGGGAGAAAGCAGGTATAGATAGAATGAGGATGATGAAAATGAAGAAAAGGAACTATCTGTAAAAACATATCAAGAGAGAAAGAGGGAGAGAGAGGGAGAAAGGGAGAGAGAGATATAAAGAAAGAAACGGATTGAATATACTAGAAAATACCAGAACGTACAATACGAACGGTATTGAAATCGGTTTTCCCCACGTTCTATCACGGCCCGAAGTGACTTCACATTGCGATTTCACCTGTCATTTCTGCCCCTCCTTTCCCCCTCTGATCCCCTTTTTTTTCTCGCATTCACTTGTCGTCTTTGCTTTTGCTTGCTTTCTATTATAGCGCTGCCATCTGGTGCAGCCAAGTCCAAAACGGCATAATTACAGCAACTACACCGGCCATTGGTGTCGGCTAAACTTCGTTCCCGACAGCCCACCTTCATCTCGCCATGGCTGATGAACGAGACTTCGCAACTGAGGCTGTCGCGCCAGAAGCCGGCCTTCCCTCCCCCAGCGATACTACGGCTCCTCCTTCGCTTCCCCGACAGACCTCGAGTCCTGTTGTCCTCCCCTCCCGCGAAGCTTCCGGAACTGGGTTATCTGCCTCGTCTACACACCTGGGTCAGCTCAATGCTGCGCGGCGGGGTGTTGGGACTTCACCACACCCCAAGGCGTCGATGAGCTCACAAGGTACCGGTGGATTAAATCAAGACATCATGGCAAAAATGAAGGCATTCTCGTTATCCCGCCAAGGTGCTCCGCAGCCACATACTGCTGCTTCAACAGGGCACATCCCCATGGCTCAAGGAGGTGTTGCGGGCGGCGCACTTGCTGGCGGCATGCCCCTAGGTGCCGCACGGCCTAATGCTCCAAATTGGTCATCTTCACCTTCCGTCCCCGCCACTGGCCCTGGCGCTTTGTCGCCTCGGCCGGGAGGGCTAGCGGCTAAGCGCATGAAGCCGGGTCTGAAGCTATCGGATGTCACCGGTCCCCCCACTCCTGCAGCAGGTACGGATCAAAATCAGGGCGAACAAAATGGGGAGTCTGCCTTCAGCAAATACTCCGAGTTCATCGACACAAAAGAGGGCACTCTCAACTTTAAAAACAAAGCCATTCTACACGGAGGTGGTGTCGAATTTTCTTCAGGCCACAGCTTCAAGATCTCACTGGACGAAGTAGATCGCTTGGACGAGTTGGGTAAGGGTAATTACGGAACGGTCTACAAGGTTCGACACTCTCGCCCGCATCTACGAAAGCCAGGTCTGGGGCTGGGTGGCATTGTTAGCCGTCCTCCAGGCCACGACGAAACGAGTCCAGAATGTGGGTCGAACCAACTCTCCGGTGTGGTCATGGCCATGAAGGAGATTCGCTTGGAATTAGACGAAGCCAAGTTTGCACAAATCATTATGGAGTTAGACATTCTACACCGCTGTATATCTCCCTTCATCATCGATTTCTACGGGGCCTTTTTCCAGGAAGGTGCCGTCTATATGTGTGTCGAGTACATGGACGGCGGCTCGATCGACAAGCTCTACGAAGGTGGCGTTCCCGAGAACATTCTACGCAAGGTGGCTCTATCCACCATCATGGGGTTGAAATCACTGAAGGAGGACCACAACATTATTCACCGCGATGTGAAGCCAACCAACGTCCTTGTCAACAGCAAGGGCCAAGTCAAGATCTGCGACTTTGGTGTCAGCGGAAATCTAGTCTCTAGTATTGCGAAGACCAATATTGGTTGCCAAAGTTATATGGCACCTGAACGAATCGCTGGAGGCGGAATGCAACAATCGGGGGCACCGAGTGCCGGTACATACAGCGTGCAGAGTGATGTCTGGAGTTTAGGCCTGTCCATCATCGAATGCGCCATGGGCCGATACCCATACCCACCAGAAACATTCAACAACATTTTCAGCCAGTTACACGTGAGTACCCTGACAACAGTTTTCCAGGTCCAACGTTCTAATATTGTCCATTTCAGGCTATCGTTCACGGAGATCCCCCAACATTACCCGAGGGATTCTCTGAAGAAGCGCACGCATTCGTCCGGGCCTGTCTCGACAAGAACCCGAAAAATCGACCAACTTACAACATGCTACTCCGACACCCTTGGCTGGCCCCCCTCATGCAGCCACCAACCGAGTCAGGTGGTGACAGCGCCCCACCACCTGAGGAGTCCGGCTCCGGCGATGCCACTTCATCCGCGATCACAGCTGACGAAGAAGTGGCCGAGTGGGTAAAAAAGCAAATGAAACTTAAAGAAGATGGTTTGCTACACATTTCCGAGAAACCAGCACTTCACGCCGTCGCGCTGGATCAGGTCGGCACGAGCTCCTCCAATGGTGATCCTCACGCTTCGTCGCAAAATGACTGAGCTGGCCACCGGCTACATCGAATATTGCATCCTCCTTTTCTCCGGGGGCACCTTCACGGCGCAGGCGCCGTTTACCACGACTTTCATCTCTCTTGATTCCACCAGGCCAATACGCTAATGTTCTGGCGTTTGGGGTCCATTGAAGCGTGGTCAGACCGTCGGCATGGTTATTATCCGAGCGTAATTTGAGATTGTTTCGACAAATTATCCATCTGGATCTACGAGCATTTGGTTTTCTGAACTGATTTGGGGATAATTTTGCTGCGCCTGCCCTTCATATGATCAGGCGCAAAGAACACATTTTCATACCTGTTACCTGATGTTTCCGAATTTCCTACATTTGAACTGTAATTTTTCTGTGTTTCCAATACAAGCGCTTTGCTCGGCCTTGTAAGCATTCTGGATTGGGTATCATTTTCGTAGATGCAGCCACTAGTCTATCAATCTTCCAATTGAAACGATTTCATTTTAATGCTTTGCTAGTAAGCGGCTCATAAGTACATATCAAAAGCCATGTTGAATATAGATCATACATATATACATACCCCCAAGGTTCTTGTTGCTGTTGAAACTGGAAAAGAACTCATATCTCAAGCAGAATCCCCATCTCAAGCCTCTCCCCAAATCTCATCAGCAATCTGCCTCACCAGATCCAGCTTCTTCTTCTGGTCTTCAACAAGAAGAGGATACCCACTCTCATGAGTGCTGAACCCACACTGAGGACTGATACAAACCCTCTTGAGCGCTTCCTCCCTAGTCTCCCCAGACCCTTCAGCAACAAAATCAGCAGCCGAATAAACACGCTCCTTCATAGCCTCCTTATCCTCCAAATCACGCAACTTGGTACTAATAATCCCAACCACAACATTCTTGTTCTTAGGCAAGAACCTCAGCGGCTCAAAGCCCCCAGCCCGCTCAGTATCATACTCCAAATAGAAAGTATCAACATCCAAGTCCTCAAACAGCTTCTTCGCAATGATATCATACGAACCCTCAGAGAAGTACCGCCCACCAATGAAATTGCCCCGACAAAGATGAATACCCGTATGCATATCCGCAGGCAACCCAACAAGCGAATCATTGTACAACTTAATATAAGCATCCAACAAATCCTCCACAGATCCCTCATTGTCGGCATCCTGCTCCCAGCCCTCCCGGAACGATGTGGAGCAGAAATACGCCATACCGGGGTCATCGAACTGCACGTTCCGCAAGCCAGCAGCATACAGCGACGCCAGCTCGGCACGATACACCTTGGCGACGTCGGCGAAGTACTCCGCGTCGTTGGAGTAGGCGTCCACCGTGTACGCGCGCCCTTGCTTGTAGCGCATGTGGAACCATGCCGGCGTGATCATCGTCAGCTTGATGTTGGGCCATTCGCTCTGCGGTAGCGACGCCTGCACCAGACGCAGCTCGTGCAGGTTGGATTGGGAGGCTGAGGGGCTGTGGGAAAGCTTGCTGGCTGCGATCACGGAATCGCCGGGCATTACTTTGTGGTCTTTTTCAATCAGGCTCACCACGTCTGGGTGGTAGAGTCTGAACATCGAGGCTTCGGCGTTTTGGAGGCGGATTGTTCCTGGGAGTTAGGTTTAGCTTATGTTTTCTTTCTTTGGTTGCTTGTTCCAATTGTTGTGTATAGATATAGCGAACCATAAACACGTCTATCACTTACCCTCGAACTCATCCCACATCAATCCCCAGAATCGGGTGCGGTTGAACTCGCCAGAAGTAACGGCCTTGAACCCCAGGTCTTGCTGCAACTTGACAACCTCGCGGATGGCTTCTTGTTCGAGTACTGGCAGTCCAGCGGCTTCTGCGGAGATTCCAGTATTGGCAATCTTCTCGCGCACCTCGATCAGGTTCTCTGGACGTAGTAGAGAGCCCATCTGCTCGGCCCGGAAGGGTGGGGCGGTTTTGAGCTCGTTCGCCATCATGTTGTATGCAGTTGGGTAAGAAGCTATCCTGTTGATTCCAGGGGAGTTTCTTGGTACAAATTATTCAGCTGGAAAACTTTTAGCTTCCATAAAGGGGACATCCCAAGCTCCCCTTTTTTTCCAGCTCTTCTCCATGTGGAGGCTTTTATTATGCGGGGCAGCTAATGTGGTGCCGATAATGGGGCTCTTTAGGACTTGCGGCTGTCTATCTTCTCTCTTTTCGCTTGAATGCTGTAAATTTAGAGAGATTGGGCTGGTGTCTGTCAACTCCATGTGTAGAAATGTGTATACACTAATCCTCCCGAGATTTCATCCCGAGCAGGGAATACCTCAACCTATGCTGTAGACACGAGCTTGTCGACGCCTCAACGCCCCCAAAAAAGCCCCACATAAGCTCTAAGCCTAAGTTAAGCAGATTATTTTTGTATCCAACCGCATTTAACAATACAAAATACCACATATATAAAATATAACAGTGGCACATTCGCGCATACTGCAGGTTGAACACCGACCGTCCAGAATCCCACGTGATTTCGTAATTTCCTAATAGCGAAGTAGCAAAAGTGTACATCAACAACTAAAAAGCCCCACATCCTATCTCTATAACGAAGGACATGTAAGAGAGAAAAAAAAATAGGTAGCTTCTCTTTGATTGAGCGTGTCATCCTTAGTGCAGGGGCCATGCTAATCTTCTCTGTATATTTTCATTTGACCATATGCCCCGAAGGGCGAAAAGACTTCCTTAAAGTTTAATATAACACCAATTTGGGGCAGAATTGTACCGCCTACAGGTTTGGACTGCCACGTGCGCGGTCATGTACATAACGTTGACGGGGTCAGGAAGTTGTTTGGGTTGTTGTGTATTCCTAATTGTTTCCCTGTTGCGTGGAATTGGGCATGACAATTGGATGAGTTCGGAAGAGGAAGAGATTCGAGCAGATGAAAAGGTTATAATCTTCCACGGTTGTTTGCGGGGCAGTCTAGGTATGTATTTGTGTGGGATTACTCATCACGATCCCAAATTCCAATCACAACTTGACCTCAAAGTGTGTTATAAATTTTGATTGAAGAATAGTCGGCCGCGTTTGCGGCCTTGTTAAATGTCTTTTTAGCTGGTATTTTTAGATGTGTATGTAGGCGGTAAAAAAAAAGCATACTTTCTGCAAGCGACTTTTTTATGTATAACCTGTGACTACCTAGGGAGAAAGTGGAAATTTAGTCGGTAGTATGGTTGTGACCGTGATACTGACCTCGACTTCCCTAGCATAAATAGGGAGTTGGCGTTCATCAAACTTTCCAAGCCATAAGCTCGATTCCTTCGACAACGGGCTACCATCAATAATGCAGAGTGCCTTGATTTCCTGCAGTTAGTTGTACTATCTTTTTATCTTCTTTTTTTTCAAGTTGCTTCTAGATATACCTCGCTAGTTATTTCTTTGTATGTGACATTGTTCTTGCCAAACATAGTTAAAGATGGAAGAAATAGATGTATTTTCTATCTATGTACTTCTTACTCTTTTAGGCAGTAACCTGCGGGTATTTGGCTCTTTTGAGGGATACACTAGCCCAAGGAAAAAAAGATTAAAATCGTATAAATATCGGAATCTTCTAGACTACATGTATTATTCACACATATCTCTTATTTATCTTTTCTTGAACAGCATTACCGCATGGTCACAAGCTCCTCGGCGCTAGTAGGGTGGATAGCAACACAGCTATCAAAGTCCTGCTTAGTAGCACCCATCTTGATAGCGACACCAAAGCCCTGCAGCATCTCACCGACACCAAGACCGAGGATGTGCAGACCAACAACCTTCTCCTGGGGGCCAGCGCAGATGATTTTCATCTCAGTGGGGTTCTTCGCCTTCTCCTCGGGGGACAAGCCGACATCGTAGAACATGGCAGTGAACTTGGTGTGGTAGACCTTGATCTTGTCGTCACCGTAGCGTTGGCGGGCCTCGGGCTCCGTGAGACCAACGCAACCGACCTCGGGGTGCGAGAAGACGACAGTAGGAATGTTCTCGTAAGAGATCTTGGAGTGCTTCAGCTCTGGAGGGCCGAAGAGACGGCTGCCAAGTTGACGGCCGGCAGCAATAGCAACTAGAGTATTGAGTCAGTGTATTTCTTTAGACGAAAAGTGGAGATCGCAACTTACCAGGAGTCAGCTCAGCTTGACCGGTCACGTCACCGAGAGCGTAGACACCCTCAACCGAGGTGTTCTGGTACTCGTCAACCACAACGTGGCCACCAGCATTCAGCTTGACACCAGGGATGTCCAAGTGAAGATCTTCGACCTCGGGAGCACGTCCCACAGCCCAGAGGAGCTCGTTGACCTCGATCTCAGAGCCGTCATGGCCAATAAGCTTGAGCAGGCGATCCTTGCCCTTGCCATCGCGGATGAGTTGTACCTCCTTGAAGCCGCCGTGGTTGCGGTGAAGGTTGACGCCGGCGGCCTCGTAGCGATCAGTCATAGTCTTCTGGATCATAGGGTCGAATTTGCGCAGGAAGTTCTCGCCGCGGATGAACATGTGGGTCTCAACATCAACAGCGTTCAGGACACCAGCAATCTCAACGGCGATGTAGCCAGCACCGACAACGGCGATCTTCGGGGGAAGCTCCTCTAACTCAAAGAATCCGTCGCTGGTGATACCGTGCTCGGCGCCGGGCACGGAGGGGAGGCTAGGTCGGCCACCGGTTGCCAACAGGATGTGGGGTGCGGTGTAGCGTGCGGTGCCGGAGCCGTCGGCCAGCTTGACCTCAATGGTGTGGGGCTCGACGAAGCCAGCACGACCTTGGACGAGGTCGATACCTTCACGACCCCAGTTGCGCTCGTAGGCGCCGTTCAACCGCTTGATGACAGCGTCGCGGGTGTTCTTGAAGTGGGTGTAGTTCATAGCAATATTATCGGGGATATCGTAACCATAGCTCTTTCCAATGTGCAGCATCTCATTGATGGTCGCAAAGTTCCATGTCATCTTCTTGGGGACACATCTAAATATTGTCAGAAAAAAATGGACAATCGAGTATAGCAATATTACACCTTGTACTTACCCCACGTTGACGCAAGTACCGCCTGACCGCCCGCTTTCCACGATGAGGGTCTTCTTGCCATACCAACCCGCTGCGCGGCGGGCACTTCCACTGCCACCACTACCACCGCCGAGGACGATGTAGTCATACTGCTGTGTTTCGATGGGAGCCATATTAGGGGATTGTTGGTTCTTCGAGGCGGAGGATGCAGAAAAGTGTCGAGAGATTGTAGAAAGACGAGAGTTGGCAGCAATTGAATCCACAGGGGTGAGGCGGGGGGAGTTGATGGTCGCCAGAGTTCGATTGGTCAAACGACCAGGACGGATTTGCCCGACGGAAGACCGGGTTAAAGATGAAGAGGCTCGAAAGCTAATTCGTGATGATTGGATGGAGCGGGAGAGCATGGAGGGAGGGGAAGAGGGGAAGAGGGGAAGAGGGGCAATATATACAGGCTGAGGTGAGAGGGGACCGAAAAAACAGAACGGCTGTGGTGACGATATCGGGGTTCGTTAATGCGCGTTGGTTCTTCCGTCACCACGGGCGATTTCTCAGCAAGGATTACGTGATCCGATCTAGACCCGGGCAGGTGCCCACATGCTCGATATAAAGTTGATACTTCGGCTTTATTATTGCATTCAAGATTTACAATTTGTTTATACTTGATATGTAAGATTATTTATTGAACTCGTGATATGTATGATATATGGGTATAGGAAAATCAAGGAAAGAACGACAGGGAGTGACCGGCACCCCAGAATCAAATGCTCGATGTAGCACACAAGGAAATAATATCGATCAGACAACTCATAACTCAAGATCCAGGGTTGAAGTACTGGAATAAGTCAAGGGATGATTGAAATCAATAAAGGCCAATGAATGTTGAAAGATATTTCAGCTAGAGAAGGATCCTGGCCTTATCAATCTGAAGATGTTGGTCGGAGTATGATAGGAACAGGGGAGAGGGTATCAAAATGCGATGTAAAAACAGAAGCCATAGAGTCCAAGGCTATGTATATCTTGACTTCATGTTACAGAATTCAATCAGAGTGACATATGTAGCCAGTATCATAGGTCAAGGACTAGACGGCAGTTGGGGGCGTGGAAGAAGTGTGTGTGGTCCAATGCGGGAGTCTGAATCTTTGCGCGGAGAGAGAACGTGAGGGTATGTTCTGATGACTTGCAGATCATTCAATCGACACAAGCTCTGCTACTATGTTGGTCACATTCTACTTGTGACGGAGGGGCAGTGTTCAGTTGTTGAAGGTAGTTTGTTGAAGGTAGTGTGGGGACCGGAGAATATTGGCTCGTATGTTGTATTGATAAAGCGGAGTGGGAGTGCTTCGGAAGAAGGAGAGGCATCCTGGACTCTAGAATTCAGAACCACGGGGTGTGACCCTTTCATCTTCGCCTGGGTGCTGTTGGGGCAGAACGCTATCGCGACTAGTGGGTATAGGCGATAACGGCAAAAGAGATGAGACAGAAGCAGAGAGGAATGTAGACAGAGCGTTCCATATCGGCTGGTGTTGAGGAGTTGCGTTTCATGGGTTTCAAAGACGTACAATAGCACAGTATGTAGTGATTTGGTGATGTGTCTAGAGATCTGAAAAGGAGGGGGTCCAGGAGTATGAGAGAGTCCGGGGAGGGGGGCGGTGTGTTTATCTTATCTGCTTAGGTAACTGCGTTGGGGCCTCAACAAAACATCACCTGACTCAACATGGGAAGGCATTTACGCAGTCAACAAATAGAAAGGGAGTGCCTAGATGGCCACAGTCCACTATTGATACGCTGGACAGGCAACCATATTTGAACATCAGTCCCCGTGGGCGATGGTTCTTGAATATTAACCCCGTAGGCGATGGTTGGCAAGTGAGAACATCCAACTATTCCACGTGGTATCAAAATAAGCCTCGGCAGGGCCCAATTATAAAGCAGAGTGGGCATTTTCAAGTTTGTCAATGTTTCGGCTTTCCGAGGCTGATGGCGATAATATGCACCGGATCCATCTAAATATAGCCTTGTAATAGTTATCATGCGCATCATACAGGACGACCTCTAGTTCAGTGTTCCAAACTCTCATACATCCCTTGACAGTATCCATTTATCAAGGATCGCGTAATGAGCTCACAAAGGCCAACCTCAACAGCAATGATCTACATTACTGCTTTCACCCCTAGCTATACTTACTCACACACTTATCAAAGAGCAGCCCCTGTCCAGGGTAAATCATAACACTCCCGAAACCTCAACATTCACGGAGAATGAAGAATGCAAGGAGATACCAACCACACCTCCTATGTACCAATGAAAGCAGCTATGAGCGGCATTCATACCTGGCCGAACTAAAAAACAAACAAAACAGAACTCAGGAACCCGCCTTGCCAACCAATGGAGCAAGGCATCTGGTCACTCGAGTTCTCCTTCGTAGTCCCGATTCATTAGACGAGATATTGCCCTAGAATAGTCCTCCCCTGGGGTATACATGAGCCGATCTGCCCAAACACGTTCCCATCAACTCGATATTACGCCGACCGATCACCCACCAGCTACCATATCACCATCGCCATAATGCGTGTTTCAGCCCTCGCCTTCGCTGCTGTTCTGTCCCTGGTCTCAGCCAAAAAGATCAACATGCACTGTAACTTCGCCGAGGACCACACCGGCATGGTTCAGCAGCCCTACTGCTGCCGTGATTTGGTGCCTGCACGAGGAAACTCGAAGGCAAACGAGGCATTGGATTGTATGTATAACAATCTCATGATATTTGATCACTGTTTTGTCTAACACAAACTTCTCTAGGTGATCAATTGGACCAGCCTCAGCTGTGTGATGATCAGTCTCGGCCGGCTTGTTGCTATACTATTGTGAGTTTTGTTTCAGTCAATCTGGTGTTCAGATTTTGCTAATCTGGTTTATTCTACTTTTCTCAGGGCGCCAAGAAGATCTGTACCAGCCACGTTATCTTCCAAGATGCTGAGGATGTTTAGAGTGACGAAGGGTACAAAGAGGAGGAGGGTACAAAGGCACAGTCGAATACAATCGCGTTATGAGATTGGCGGGATGAGAAACTAGCTCAACCTCGACGTTTTGATGTCAATAATTTCAAGAGAATAGTCATCAAGCATATATCACACTTCGCTTCTGGTGCATGGAATGATAGTGCACTGTGATGTGGGGGCAATCTGTTATAATGTTTGAGATAGACCCCTAGCAAATAACAGCATAAATGGTTCAGTTATGCCGTATCAATGATTTCACGAATCAAGCATTGTCAAAAGAAGGACTACCAACTCCATATTCCTGGCGCCGGAGGTTGCTGTATACCGTCAACCTTTAATAAATGCAGCCACATTAATCGGAGGCTACCCCGAGCATCTCCTCGGTATTCCTGCGAAATAGACGCTCCGCTAGCCCCGGCTTTGATGCACATAATTCCAAACAACATTCAGTGAATGGGCTGATATCAACACAGGAGAATCGAGTGTGTGGCCAATCAGTGGCGTAGATAACCCGATTAGGTGCAACAGACAAGAACTCGCGTGCCATGGCCTGAAGATCACGCATTTGATAGTCTTTGCTAAGTCGATACGGTGCAGACATCTTAACATATGTTTTGCCGCCACGAAGCAGAGAAATCAAGGACGAGAACCCTTGAAGGGTATAGGGGTTGAAATCCGGACCATCATCGTTCCATGAACTGAGCTCGGGGCTGCCGAAATGGTCGATGCAGATGCGCACGCCTAGTTGTGGGAGGATTGACTCAACCATCGAGATCATCTTGAGGGGAAGATATATCTCGATGATCCAATTGCGAGGCCGGGCAAGCTCAGCATGCTGGAGTAAGGTCTCTTCCAGCTCGGTCTTATCCATCAATTTCCCTACGGACTGAAGGTTTATTCTCAGTCCACGGACTCCAAGGGTATGCCATTCGTTTAGAGTCTCCGGTTCAATGGTGACAGGGTCAACGACAACAACTCCTCGGCCGCGCGAGGGTCCAAGTCTTCTCAGGGCATCTAACAAACAAGAATTGTCTGTACCATAAACTGACGGTTGCACAAATACGAGATTCTCAACGCCCAGTCTAGACTCGAAGGCAAGAGCTTCGGGCAATGTATGTGCGGTGGGTTTGTATACCGCTGTTGGAGAGACAGGAAAACGCTCAGGTTCCACGACATGCATGTGACTATCCCAGGACTTCAGAGGGAGTCTCTGCTTCAGCGATACACTTGCGGATGAGGCATGTGTTGAGCGACGTTGCTCTAAACGGGTGGAAAGTGTATCAAACGATATCGATGAAGGCCCGGGAAGTATATTGAGTTTGGGCTGAGCAGTGGTCAGCATCCCGAATAGATAGTAAGCAATAAAAGATAGCGGTGCGTTTTCAACAGTGAACAAGTAGGCAAAGGTACAAAAAAAAAAGCCAAAATGATGCCCTAGGGAGATACTCACAGAAGAGCAGCTCCAGCAAGGCGATGTCCTAAGACAGGACTTAGAAATAATCATGCTACTTTCACCGCTCAACATCCGTGGATGTTGATCGAAATGCCTGCAATGCAGTGTTTTTTAAACAAAAGGCACCCATCGGCCGTGTCCGAACAGCACACAATATGTAGGGAGTACGATGTACAGGCCTTGTGTGACCCACCCCTACACCTAACACGCCTGTGACTAGGTGCAGGGGAAAAATTGAGCTCGGAAGTTGTCCGTCAAGGATCGCTTCCAATCTCTAATCTGCCATCTGGGCCTGTTAAATGAGCTCAGGAGCCGTCAAGCGGAGCCAAAAAGTGGATAGTTGCGGCGCGAGCCGACATTGAAGTATGGAAGTGATTTGGAAGTCATTGTATGTGGTAATGCGACAAAGTAATAATGAAAAATGCAATATAGGTTATGCATTGCAGCAATTATTGCTGTCCTAGTAATGGGAAAACCCAGGATACAAAAGGACTAAGCTCGGATGTTGACCGAACCTCTATTTAGCCCGGGTGCTCGGCACCCGGTTTTCCTCCATCGTCCACTCCCGGGAGATCGTTCTTCGTTTCCCCCAGATTTATTGTTATAAGCCCCCACAGCTCGCTTACATTCGGGGCCATGCGATGGATCAAATCACGATGGTCGACCAATCCCTACTACGCCCTGGTGATTGCTGTCATTGCCTGTGGCGGGATCCCGAAAGGTACAGCACTCCTTCCCCCACTACACTAGCTTATCGGACAACGATCTGCGACCTGTGGACCATGTACTAGCGACATTTGCTAATTGCGCTTTGTCCTCGATAGGCTATGACGAGGGTGGTTATAGCGCCAGCGTCTCCCTCCCTTCCTTCAAGTCCGACTACAACCTCGATAAACACTTGGGTGTGGACGAAACCGAGCTAGCTAACCGAAAAGCGAATATTACCTCCTTTAACGTCCTAGGTGCAGCACTTGGTGCCTTGATAGTCCTGGATCTCAATGATCGACTTGGGCGCTTGATGGTGTGGCGCCTAGCATGCATCGTGTGGGCAACAGGGACATTGATCCAAGTATTCTCATCCGGTATATACGGACTGCTCTTGTTTAGTCGCTTATGGGCCGGATTAGGCGCGGGCGCTCTAACGGTGACTGCACCACTTTACTTAACCGAAATAGCTCCTGCTAGGACGAGAGGTCTGGTGGTGGGGATATACATGGTATTCTTACTGGCATTTCTGGCCATGGGTAAGCTTTGACCCTTTATACATCGTATATCGCATACATATTCGGCCCCAATCTGACCCATTACGCGTCATTGCAGGGTTTTTTATCAACTATGGCGCCAGGGTCCACATGGCGACCACACGAACCCAATACCGCCTAGTTCAGGCCGTGCCTTTAATTCCCGTCGGCATCGCATCTGGTATTTCATACCTTTGCCCCGAAACTCCTCGGTATCTCGTTTCGAAACATCTTCATCGGGAAGGCCTGGAGGCTCTGGCACGGCTACGTGGCAGGGCCATCGATGATCCCGAAATCATAAAGGAATTTGCAACTATCGATGCACGGGAGCGGGAGCGAGCGACAGACTTAGCGTCTGTCTCTCATTGGGCTATGTTCAAGGAGACACAGACGAACCCGAATTACCGACAGCGCTTCTGGCTACTAATGGCTATGCAAACTATCGCTCAGTGGACTGGCGGGAACGGCATCACATACTATGTAACGAGCATATTCCAGGTATGTCAATTTTGACAAGGCAATTATTAGCTACTTCAAATACAAAGCACTAACATATGCTAAAACAGTACGCTGGCGTAAAAGGCGACGGAAATTCCCTCATCTCATCCGGCGCCTACGGGATGGTCAAACTCATCTTCACCATGGCCTTCACATGGGGTCTAATCGACCTCCTCGGTCGACGTCGCTGCACCCTCGCTGGACTAAGCCTGCAGCTCTGCGCGCACATCTACATGGGAATATACATGGGTCTGCGCCCAGGCTCAGCAGATAACAAAAACGCCTCCAACGCAGCCGTCGCCTCGATCTTTGTCTACGCCGTCGGCTGGTCCATCGGCCTCTGCACAGTTCCTTACCTGTACGGCACGGAGATCTTCCCAACGCGCATCCGCAACGTCAGCTATGCTATTAGTATGGCGCTGCATTGGTTCTTCCAGTTTGCTGTTGTGCGAGTTACTCCGAATATGCTTGTCTCCCTTGATGTTTGGGGTGCTTTTCTCTTCTGGGCACTTATTTGCTTTTCTGGGCTGGTTATCCTTGGTGTCTGGATGCCCGAGACGAAGGGTGTTCCTATTGAGCGCATGGGGGATCTGTTTGATGGGCCGTGGTACCTGCGGTGGCGGGCTAGGTCGAGGGATTGGGATCTTGTTTCGCCAACTGATATGTCGCAGAACATTGCGTCGAAAGATGGTCGTGTTTTGAAGTCCGGTGATTCGGCCTTGTGATGGTTCTTTTGTTTGTTTCTTTGACATCCCATTGATATGCATATACCTGTTATTTATCGATACCCCATTTTGTTATTATTTGGTCCATGTTTTGACTTTCATATTGGTTCGATTCTTTCCAATTTTAGGATTTCAAGATATCTAGTCTGTTTTGCTAGAGTTTTCTACCTCACGTGCGGGCGACTAAGTATGCCACCGGTTCATAACTCTCCTATTGGATACCACTTCACCGCCTCTTTCATCGCCGCCTTCTTGAAGCATACTTCTTCGTAATTGAGTTCAATCTGTATACTAAATTCAACTTCTCTTTTATTTTTTACAAGAATAGTCGGCCTGGTTAACGGCCTTAAGATATCCTTTAGCTGGTCTTTTTAAATGTCTATTTAGATGTCTTTTTAGATATATGTAAAGGCGGGGGGAAAAGGTATACTTTATACAAGTGACTTTTCTACTAGGGACACTTCAACTTTATAATAGTATAACTAACGATTGATCATAAACCCAATAAAGATAAAATCATCTCTCTTTTCTAAACCGGTGCATCTTCTTATTCTATATGCTTCAATTTATATAGACAAAGCATACTCTTATAAAGTATGGATTAAATACACCTCGAGAGTATATATATAGCAGGTAGATCAATACAATTAGAGCGGTAAAAAGAGTGTATAACGTATTTCACCCCATTGCTGGACACACCCCATAGCTGGACACCCACCCAAAACGCGTTAATTAATTTAACCCCTTTCTTCTTCCACCACCCACCATGCCACCAATACGCTCCCGGAGCTCTAAAAATTCAATAGAGCAAGAGGGTAGGATCTTACTAGCTATCCAGGCTTTTAAGAATCGAGAAATCTCTTCAATTCGTGAAACCGCCCGCCGATTTAATATACCGAATTCAACTCTCGCCACACGCCTCTATGGTATACAAAACCACGCGATTTCTCGCGTTAACCTACAGAAATTGACCCAGATTGAAGAGGAATCTCTTGAAAAATAGATTCTCTCTATAGATCTACGTGGAGCAGCCCCCCGGCCCTCTATGGTACGAGAAATGGCAGACCTTCTTCTTCAAAAGCGTGGAACCACCCCGCTTCTTTCAGTCGGCCAAAATTAGGTTACAAAATTCGTTAAACGACGTCCTCTCCTTTCCTCCCGATTCTCGAAACGGTATAATTACAAGCGTGCGAAATATAAAGACCCGAAAATCATTAGGGAGTGGTTTGATCTAGTTTAAAAGATAATCCTTTAATTTAGAATCGACCCCGATAATATCTATAACTTTAATAAGACCGGTTTTGCGATAGGGTTAACTGTAACTGCGAAGGTTATAATAAGGAGTGAATACTATAGTCAGCGAGCACTTTTATAACCTAGAAATCGAGAGTAGGTAACTGCTATTAAGTGTACGAATGCTTCTAGCTAGGCCCTTCCTCTGTGTGTGATTTTTAAAGGCAAAGTCTTTCTTAAATTATAGTTCGAGGGCCTCCTAGAGGATTAGCGCTTTAAGGTTAATCCTAACAGCTAGACCTCTGATAAAATTGGCCTTCGTTAGCTTAAGAAGCTCTTTATTCCTAGTACTTCGCGTATAAAGGGGGTATACCGGCTTTTGATACTCGACAGCTATAGAAATCATTTAATACTTAAATTTAATGAAATTTATAAGTAAAATAAGGTAATACTAATCTATATACTAGCGTATTTATCTTATCTTTTATAACCTCTTAATATAGGTTATTTTGCGGTATTAAAACGATCGTATAGTCGGATAGTTAAAACTAAGATATAGGTTAGGATTAACTATATTAACAAACTTAACTTCCTTAAAGTATACCCCTCTATATAAATTAAAGCTTTTAAATCGGAAATAATTAAAAATAGCTTCTTAGCTACCGGTTTAGTACTATTTAGACCTAACTAAGTGATTTTAAAGCTTAATATCCAGCTTCGAACCCTAACCCCCCCTGCTAGCCGGGGTAGTAAATCAAGCCGGAATTTTACCCCAAAAACCCCTTTTATAGAGAAAGATCTATGTTAATAGGCTTTATTAATTAAAGCTTTACTTCGTATAAGATCTCGAAGCCCGCCTAGCCCATCAGATCGTGCATTAAACCAG